CGTTCGACTGTTGCGCACACGCTAAAGGTCAATGATCATCTGTAGATCCGCTTCGACGCCCTCATGACCCTGTGCTGCGCCGGCACCGGTTGTAACATATAAAATTTGCTTATTGATGAACTGCTCGCCACGTCAAAATATTAAGTTTTAAATTGTTTTCCGATTCTTGGTCACGTGATCCTACTTATTCGAAAATTTTTGAAATTTTCCTTTACGATGAAAATTTTGTGCCTACGTATTGCTGATGCGTTGCCAAAGCATTTTGATGACAAAAAGATATAATGACAATCGATTTGGAACGCATGTCAGTCAAAGTTAGTAACCCAGTTCTTTGGAACCCAACCCGTGTCGCCACACGACCACACGTTTGACGGTGCCGTGGTTCACCTTGGTAGCGATTGTGACAGACACGCCGCACTATATTTGGAAAAAGTACACCGTAAGTCGGCGGACATTGCAACACATACTAACATAGCTAAGTGATCTGTCGCGACCACGACTTGTAGGCTTTAGGGGCTCTTAATATTTCGGCAATAACAATGTATGCGCATGCAACGTTGTTAGGCGGATGTGTGACGTAGATAGCGGTTTTGGATGTCCTTGGTTAAAGTTCGCAATCGCAATGAGAATCCAGTTGCTTAATAAGTCCTTAACAAGCTGTCAAAATCGCTCTGCTCTTGGATTCAAGTTTTTTGGCTTTGTTATTGCTATTTGGGGTTTTTTTAAGTATCGTGAGATTGAGTGCTTGTTAGTTTGTCACAACATTTCCAATTAGGCACTCGGATTTGGTCGTAACAAAAATCCTATTCCTACCAATACAATTTCTGAAAAGAATAATAATATTCCTGTAGGATGGTTACCCATCAGTAGTACGAAAGACATTTTCCAGAAATAACGTTTGGTCGAAATTTCATAACCTCGAAAGTAATTTTGACTACTTAACCTAACCGAACCTAATCGTGTCTTGCAGGATATGCAGGATTGAATAAACATTCAACATACAAAAACAACCAAACAACTGTTTCGTTATAATTCGGTTTTAGGTACACCGATCATTACAATAAAAATTCGAATAAACTTTGTTTCGGACAAAAAAATTTTCGACTTTGTGATAGGTTACCCTGTAGGATGTAACTATTAATATATCATCATTTAGTGGTCCAGGGAGCCACCATACCTTTTTCTGCCGCCAAGCAGTAATATAAACCATTACTGAGTTACGGTTTTGAAGTGTAAAGGTGCTGGTGAAATTGCAATCACTTTTTTAAATTAAATGGACTTGCTCTTGACCACTACCTAGCTTTGGAGCAAAGATAGGATCTACGATGGAACGAGCTAGCCCAGAAGATGCCTATTCAATCGCACACGGGGCTGACGAACGCACTGGTAGTGTCCCTCGGAACTTTGCGATCAAAATATCTGAATGGTGCAACTGTTGTAGGCTTATGCTTACCACCAAACGCACGATTTGTTCGTCCCGTAATTTAGTATCTTTAAAACAAATCTATTATATATCGTATCTAAGGAGACTTGTACCCAGACCCTGTACTCTCGTTAACAGTCCGAAGCAACTACTGTCAAGTACGTAATACTCGACCAAATGAAATGATGCATGATGCAAATGAAGCATATCATATTTGATATTGTTTTTTGACTTGATCGAGTATTATTTATTGGACAGTAATTGTTTCGGATGTCAGTCGAAGAACGAGAGTAAACCCCCAGAAGAGGGTTATATAGTTGAAGAAATATGATTTGCGCCGATGAATTCAATAGACAAGCGTGCTAACCTTATAGAAAGAAAGAAAACGTTTATTCATTAAATTGAGTCACTATATGCACTTAAATCTACTTAACACAAAAACACCAAATGGCTCCGTGATATTAAGTTAGTAAGTGTGTATAGTGGCGCAAAACAAGAAATGGACATGACTTAGCAAAATGTCTATCTCGGGCGAGACAGACGCTGATTTTCAATCGTTCCTGTTTCAGCGTCGGCTGAGACCTAAGGGAATGGTACATGCTCTGTGTATCCTCTGCTTTATGCCACACTACATATTTACACACGTGTGATACATGTATACATACAAAGCTACAAATAAATATACATAAATATAAATCAGTTAGAAGACAATAGTTAGGAACATCCGGCCTCAGAGCAGCATCATAGCCTACGCTGGTTTTCTATCAATAGATTTTTCATACTTTTTCTAAATGCGAATTTTGAGATAGGTGGCTCTCTTTTATAGGTGACTCAGAATTAGTAGAGGTGAAGCTGCGCAGAGCCTTGAACACCGCCGTAGAGTTGCCAGCTTATCGATATTCTACAGGATGATATATCACGGAGAGTGTGCGATGGAATTGCATAATTTGATTCCGCCTTCCCCTTTCCATCGTCGGGGACTAGACGTGGGCTGGGGTTCCACCCCTATGTTGTGGATATTCCCCGGATTCGCCCGAAACGTTTCGCTTCCAGATTTATACGACTAGCGACTAGGGAGTGGAATTCCCTGCCTGCAGACTTATTGAGTGTGAATTGGCATTCATTAAGGTATGCATATTACATCCTTGACCTCATCGTCACTTTCCATCAGGTGAGATGGAGGTCAAATGCGCATTTATTTTTTATATTAAAAAAATGTTATAATATATATAAGTGTTACAATAGGGTAATAAAACCATTAACAGCCATTAACTTTTACCTAAAGCATAAATCTTGGTCAATATTACCAGCCATGGGCGCACTAAATGCTTTTTCTGAATACTAGTTTTCTATTATTTCTTTACTCACCAGGTCGTTTTTTAACAATAGGTACTTCGTAAAATACCGACTACCGACTATTTTCTTACAAATTCAACAAGTTACTTATGCATAGAATTAAGTGCCAATACGTAAAAGTATTTAGACAAGTCGTTTGCACTATACAGATGGCACGTGCGTACTCTTTTGTCCTATTGTACTCTAAAGATGAAGCGACAAGACGAATCGGTGCAAATAATATTTCGCCAACTATAACGCCGTCGTTCGCGCTAGCATAAACATCGCGTAGCGTATCGGGAATTTCACTCACCTTTGAATGTTTGTTCTAAAGGAATACTTACAGTTATGTAATCTCGTGATCGGAAATTCGTGTGCAAATGGTGCCATTATAAATGATGTAGAGAAGTAATAGCCCGTGTACTTCGCTTGCACCGCCGCCGGATGCGACGTAGGCTCTTTGGAAGCGTTGCGAGTGGTGCTCGGCACCCTAAGGGCGCGTTTCCATTATGTCGTCACGTTTTATTTATCGTTGAACGACCGTCGCGTCTAGCCTGTAGGGCTAGCACGATAAGACGCGACTTGCGCAAGAGCAACATAAAGTGCGAGATCTCTATGCGAGAATAGCAGTGTCTCGCGCTTTATGTCGCTCTCGCGCAAGTCGCGCCCAGTTGTGCTAGCCCTACTATACTCGTATCACCACTATCTGTCGTGGACGATTATTTTATCGTTGAACGACTGTCGTGTCTAGCTGTTCCCATTAGATCGTGACGACAATTTATCGGTTCACGGCAGCCGCCTTGTCGTTTGCGCGACAAAATCGTTTGAAGCTACGATTATCTGTCGTCACATTTTTATCGGGACGTTTTATTTATCGTCAGACGACTGTCGTTGTAACTCTTCCCATTGTCATAACGTGCAGTCTGTCGTCGTTACATCAAAAAACTCGTGAACGACAGTTAATCGTGTTGTGTTTAAACTTCATTTAAATATACAAGCCAGGAAACTTTAAACTGCATGACCATGTGTCGTCACAACTTGATGGGAACGCGCCCTCATGTTTGACTGCATGTTTGCAGTTAATACGTGTAGTCGTTATCAACTTCATGCAGTCGAGGACTCAGATAACGACTTCACGCATGACCTGCATGCAGTTGAAAACGACTTCATGCAGCCGAGATCGACTGGATGCAGCTTTACACCCTGTCCCTTATGCGACGCACACCCTGCACCATAGGTAAAGCCGGCACTATTTGTCAGGCTTCTCCGTCATTAAAGTTTCATCTAGATATTTGAAATTTTGGTTGAGGAAAACAGATTGTATATATTTTTTTAATTTAAATAGTATACGGGTAATTCTTACAAAATCTCGAAATTCTTGTCCTTTAGGTTTATAAAACAAGGTATTTCATTCTTGCCTTAAAATTAATATTTAATATCAAATTATAATTCAATTGCTACGAATGCCTACATAAAAAATTTATTACTATATTTAAATAAAAAGAATAATATATAAAATGTCCCCAAAATAATTCCCTCTCTATATCCCAAGTTCTATAATCAAACACGTTCTGTGGTTTAAATCAAAATAACAGATATATAGAATAAAAAAAATTAACAAAAACAACCTTTAAATCTTAAACATTCGATCAAATAAAATAAGTTTTTGCAAAATTAGAGCTATCCTGTGGTAAAAACACGATAAACAAATTAAAAAAAGTGTATGCTTATTCATGTCCCAACGAAAAAATCATTCCCCCACTTTTACCTTCACTCGATTTGTGAACGCATTTTTAATTTTTGGTAAATGCATTTTGTAAGTTTTTGAAAGTTAGCAGCACTGTAAACGTTTTAAAAGACGAAATTCAACTTATGTGTGTAAAAAGTTTCTATTTCGAAAAGATTAAATTAAAAATTCTAAAAGTTACATTTTTGACAGTCATTTCCTCACAACATATAAAAATAAGTTTCCATCGCTATTTTTTCTTGGTTTATTTTGATTTCATCATTCCCTCACCCTCAAATGTTCTGACTGCCCTATACATTTTCTTAAAAGTAATTTATTTTGGGGACCACTATATCATCAAACACTATTTATATAAGTACTATGAAATTGACAAACAATAAATACAAATTCTTCCTAAAAATTTACATAAAAATTGAAAGCACGAATTTCGAAATTTCATGAGAACTGCCCGTAAATATTCGGCGGGAAGATAACGACGTTCGTTTTCATTTGCAGAAATATGTGGAATCATCGCTGGGGTGGGCTGGCGAGCGCGGTGAGGACTCGAGCTACGACTCTGAGTGTGATGATGATGGCGGACACCGCGCTGCTTCACGCACACCCTCCGACACTCTCGCTGCTGAGTTCGCTGAATATGTCACCCTGGCACCTGCTACACCACAACCTAATCAGGTAAAATTGACTTGGGTAGATGAAGTCACTATCTACTTTATCCATCTATCCAACTTGCTAAGAAAATTCATAAGAAGTACCTAATAGAGATACAGAAATGTACCTACGACGAATTGCGTTGTCAGTTGTAAACTCATGCTATAATAGATATTACACCGGTCCACTTAACTCCAGTAAGTGAAGTTACTTTTTTTTATCGATGTAGGCTCGCGTGTATATAAAAATTTCACGCGATGAAATGTGAAAATGTGGACGAGGAAAGCGCGATTTCGCTTAGAAGCTGGGCAGCTTCTATTATATAGTGTATTCTGAATTTGGTCCTGTACTCTGGTGCTCCGTCCGAAATAATTACTGTATATTCGACCAAAATGAAAGATGCATTATTCGTATGAAGCTTCATACTTGACATTGTTCTTTAATTTTGTCGAGTAGTACTTATTTGACAGTAATTGCTGCAGACGGAGAACGAGAATAGACCCCCTGAAGATATACCTCTAAAAAAATTGTTTATGTTCACCAACAGGCGAAGATCGAGTTCGCAGTCAAGCTGGGTTACTCCGAACGGCTAGCCCGCACGGCATTGCAGCGGCTTGGGCCCGATCCGCCGCGCAATGAGCTGCTTGCCGAGCTAATTAAGTTAGCCGCCAAACAACCCCCTCGCGCGCTGTCACCCCCGCCGCCTGCTGAGCCCGAGCCCCCGCCAGACAGGGCCCCTCTCAGGCAAATTGTCATCGACGGCAGCAACGTTGCTATGAGGTTCGTATTTTTGTTGGTTTACCTGTGTTATGATTCCGTTTACAAAATTCGTGCCTGACCATTATTAATTTATATCTTTATTACTAAAACTCATTTTCATAAAATTGTAAGCAAATTAAGACTACAATTTTGTTCGTTACATGTTTTACAATAACGTATTGTGTTTAAATTTTAGTCATGGTAACAAGGAGGTGTTCTCGTGCCGCGGCATCGAGATTTGCGTGGAGTGGTTCCGCGCGCGAGGGCACAAGGACATCACGGTGTTCGTGCCCAAGTGGCGCAAGGAGGCGTCGCGGCCGGACAACCCCGTGGCCGACAGGGACGCGCTGGAGAGGCTGGAGCGCGACCGCGTGCTGGTGTACACGCCCAGCCGGCTGCTCGGCGGCAAGCGGCTCGTCTGCTACGACGACCGCTACATCCTGAGGCTGGCCGCCGAGACCGACGGCATCGTCGTGTCCAACGACAACTACCGCGACCTCGCCGCCGAGAACCCCGACTTCCGCAAGGTGGTCGAGGAGCGGCTGCTCATGTACTCGTTCGTGAACGACCGGTTCATGCCGCCGGACGACCCGCTCGGGCGGTCCGGGCCGACGCTGGAGGCGTTCCTGCGCGCGCCGGCGTCGCGCGCCGACCCGCCGCCCGCGTGCCCGTACGGCCGCAAGTGCACGTACGGCAACAAGTGCAAGTTCCACCACCCGGAGCGCGCCGGGCGGCCGCACAAGTCCGTGGCCGAGAAGCTGTCGGAGCGCGCGGCCAAGGCGCTGCGCGCGCGCGACCTGCACACGGTGAGCCTGCCGCCGGGCGGGGGGCGCGCGGAGCGGGGGGACAAGCGGCCGCTGGCGCGCGCGCACTCGGCGGCGCCGCGGCTGCCCGACGCCGCGCTGGCCACGCACTTCGACCGCGCGCAGGGCGCCGGCCCGTCGGGCGACGCCAACCCGCACCGCAAGCTGGCGCGCCAGCTGACGCTGAACCCGGCGTGCGACTTTTTGCCCGGCGCGCTCCGGGTGGTGGAAC